GGAATTCAGTTGCCCCTTGAATTCTTCAAGAACCCTTCACAGCCTGAACAAGCGGAGCTTATTGGGTGGATCCTTGGAATTCTATTCCTGAAGGCCAGAGGCCTTTTCAAAAACTGAAAAGCACTTGAGATTCCTGAAGATTCCTCAAATCTTGACAAACGCAGCCTTTTGGGGAAGGCCAGAATTTTGGAAGGTTGATAAGCCCTTAGAATCCTGGAACACCTGAAAGGCCAGGAGTCTTTTTTAAACACTTTTGAATGCCCCTTAAATGCCTTATCATGACTGAAATTCCAAAATCTTGAAAGGTACAGCCTGTTTTTTGGAGGCCCGAATCTTTTCAACTTTATAAAACCCGTAAAGCCCTCAAAATCCTTGAACATCTGAAAGGCCAGGAGCCGTTTTAAAATTTTGAAAGGCCCTTGCCTTCCTGAATTTCCTTGAAGCCACGACCTTAGTAAAGGGATTCTTGAATTTCCCAATTAAGGAATATACCTTAAATCATAATATTAAGGCCCCTATAATTTAAGGTATATTCCTTAATTAAGGGGCATTGGGTTCTCTGGGTTCCGGGATCCAAAGCTGAGAGCGAAAGGCCAAACTGAAGCGCCCGGCGGCGGCAAAGCCTGGGAAGCGTAAGGCGGAGTAGGCTCGGGTTGAGATTCGGGTTCTACGGTTTAGGGTTAATATGTCGGGTTTAGGGTTTCGGGTTGTTAATAGGGTTCGGGGTTTCGGGTTTAGGGTTTAGGGTTCTAGGGCTTAGGGTTAGTAGGTTTAAGGGGTTTGGGGCCTAGGGTTTAGGGTTTGGGGCTTCGAGGTTAGGATGTTCGCAATAGTAATTGCATATCAATGGTACTGCTGATGATATAAATCCTGCATTACCTTAAGGACCCTAAACTATGGGAATTATTGGTATATTCCTTGCTATGGATAATGCAGGATTATGCCATCAACCGTATTGATGGTAATCGTAGTAGTGAAGTCTTGAGGTTCGGGGTTTGGGGCTTAGGGCTTGGGCAGGAGTTTGAGGTTTCGGGTTTAGGGTTCAAGGTTTGCAGTTTAGGGTTTGGGTGTGTGGTGTGGGGTTTCGGGCTTCGGGTGTGGGGCCGTCCACTGCCTGAATTGATTGAGATTGGGGCTTCGGGGCGGCGTTGTGGAAATTTCGGGTTTCGGCTGCGAACTTCCGGCCGGATGTATGCAGAGCGAGTTGTGCTTTCTCAACAACAACAGGGCCAATTGCCTTGTTCTGGCTTGTGCGGACGATGGTGGGACCGGGTGAAACAGTTTATGTGGAGGACAGCGTCCGCACGACTTGTTGGATGAATTGGTATTTGACACCCTGCCGATTTGGTAGGACACCAACCACCCTCATGGTGGGCTCAAGGGGCTCTTATGCTTCCGAGAATGAGGTGTTCTTTCCTGTGTGCACGGGCTGCACACAGCGAGTTGGCCGAGTGACTCTTTGAGAGTATCGGTTATACATAAACATAACCACGGTTAATTCGTATAGGACGCAGATTAGTATAATCATCATTCGTATGGTTTTAGCTTAAAGCACAACTACCATAACAATTATTTAGAGGAGCCTTGAAATTCATTTACTTTATTGCTATTATTGACCAATAGTCTTAACAAAAGATATTATACATTAATATAGAATTCATGCTTTAAATAGTAAGTGCCGAAGTCCTTTTGGAAGGATGGCGGCTGATGCCGTTACCTAGAGATGTGGAATTTATTACTGAGACAGATTGAATAACATTTACTTTAGATCCCCTTGGCATAAGTTTGTGAAAGGATTGATAGTTAGCACTTTTGGTTATTGCAACCATAGAGACTTCTTCTATTGAGGAAGCTATACACATGAATTTCACAAACATTGTTAGGGAGGGGGTTAATAAACAGACATTTGAGAATATCCTTTATGAGAATATCATATAGTATGGAGTGTCAATAATCTGCCTAAAGTCCTAAAGGCCTTATCCCGCAACCTTGCTTTGTGGCTGCCTCAGGTGTTTCGGCAGCAATGCCACTATGTAGCATGCAGAGTCTCAAAGCATCCCTCTGTGTGTTTGTAACATATAACCGTATAGCCCCCCAAACCCCTGGAGTAGTCGGGGGTCCTGAACAGACAAGTTGTCTATCTCCATGCGGCTTGCGCACAGGTTCGCCCAAGCGGCCTTCTTGCATTGGCGCGCACTTGTGCGCCTGTCAAAAAAGAGTAGCGCCGTGAAGCTGTCCGAGCTTCAGAGTTTCCGATGGAACCCCCTCAGATATTGTCAGATGCCTACCAAACCCTTTACTTATGCTTCCGGTGGTTCCGTGATTGTGTGTGCCCATGGAGCTCGATGCCCACTGAGCCAACTAGAACGTACAGTCAGGCTTCGGCCTGAGAGGTTCAGAGATCATGCAATCCTTGGACCCTTCCTAAACCGGAACACATAAATCCTGCAGAAATCCTACGACTCAAAAACTCCCTAAAATCAACCCCCGAACCCTAAACCCCATACAGGATCACATCTCGGAGCTACGTGATGGTGTCCTTCGTGCGCGTTCGGGGCCTCACTTCCTCTCTGTTTGAGCTGTTGAATTTTGCTTGTGTGTGTTAGGATTCCTGCAAGAGGTCCAGTACGGTTCCTTTAAAGGTTTCGTTCAAAGGTCTCAGGGTTCCTTAGAGAGTTGTAGGGATCAGACTTGGGTGGTTAGGGTTTTGTTAGTAGCAGGCTTAGCGATTTACAGGTGAAGTGTTCTGGGTTTGTCGGTTCAGGATTTACCGTTTGAAGGTTTAGGGTTCGAGATTAGTACCAAGGTTTAGCTTCTTGCGCGTGGGACTGCCCTGCAGCACAGAACATGGTGGGAACAACCTCAAGCCCTAATACAGTTGTCGAAGAGTTAGTAGACATAGTATCCCGTCTATTCTCTATGTAATTGTATGCTGCTACACCCCCAACACCTTATTCTAGCTATGAAGTGCTGTGTGCTTCGGCGGTCAGTCTAGATTCAGTGATTCAGGCCGAGGAGCTTAGAGCCTTGTGCAGCCAAGTTGCCTTCACCGTCGTGGCTGTGGGCATTTGCCTTTACTACTACAAGGAGCGACCTTTTGGTCGGAGTAGCAGCTGAGTAGCAATAGTCATCGCCGTCGATGCCGTCGCGAGACCTTGACGAAGGCGGTTTCAGCCGAGGTAGCCGGACTGTCCCAATTGAAGATGTTCCCAAGCAGGCGCCGCAGACTCGAAACAAAACCCGAAGTGTTGCAGGAGCCTTATCACATCCACTTGTACGCCCCTTAAGCTCCCAAACCACCTGCGTCTCGCTTCATTCAATCTGCCGAGGCCCCAAACCTGCATCCCTGAACCTCTGAAGCTCCAAACTCCTGCAACCAACAGACCCCTAAACCCCGAAACCCCCTAAACCCTAAATACCTAAATCCATCTAATCCCAAAAGCGCCCAAGGCCAAGGCCCCCCTTAATTCCCCAACGTCCCCAAGCCCAGAAGCGTTGCACCGGAGCAAGCAGGAGCTGACGACTGCCTTGGAGGCTCCTGCCCAGGCTGGCGACATGGGCGCTCGCGGCCCAGTTGTGTTTGCTCTTCGTTTTTCTCCCCCTGTTTTCAGGGTTTAGGGTCAGGAGTAAAGGCTCTAGACTCTCTAGTAATTTAATTTAGAGTTTCGGATTTGGGGCTCTGGCTAAGGGCATAGCTTCTTCGTGTCGAGGATGCAAGATGCAAACACAGGAGCACAATCTTCATGAGTGCTTATGACGGTAGTTGGCAAGGATGGCAAGAGCATGGACACAAAGCGCTAGGCTTGCAGGTTGTAAGTGCCATACTGTTCTGTTACGATGTTTGACAAAAGGAAAGCTGGCTTTTCCACATGTGTCCGCCAGGTAACAGGCAAAATAGCAATGACAAGAAGAAGAAAGAGTATGGTGATGGTGATTTCAGTACCAACAACGGCGATAATTACAGCAAGGATTTTATCGCAAGAAGGGAAGGAAGTGCTCTGCATTCCGTGATTCGGCTAATGCTTTCTTAGGAGAAGGAAGCAATACAAGAAGGTCAGTGTTGGGTTGTCTGCCTCATCCCTGAGCCCCTAAACCCTAAACCCTAAGGCCCAAAAACCTACGCTCTACACCCTAAACCTAGAACCCTAAACCAAAGAGTGACTAAACCCCAGACCGAGAACCCTGGACTAAAGAGTTTCCGATGCCGGGATCCGGGACATATTCGAAGTTTTGATTCCTTCGGATCGAAGGCTCGGGAGTGAAGGCCGCGAGATTCGCTTGGGAATCAGGGCTCTAACCTGAACCCTAAACCCTAAACCCTGAACCCTAAGCCCTAAACCCTTGGGGCTTTTTGGGGTATTTCCAAGTTGGAGGGTTTTTCAGGCCCAGGCCCTGCTTCCTGCAACCTCTCCAGGGCTTTGGTTTCGGACAGAAGCAGCATCCCAAACTTTGATTTAACCCTAAACCCTACACCCTAAACCCTTCAAGGTGTAAAAAAACAACCCTAGACCTTAAACCCTATGGGGTTCAGGTCGGGATCACCCTAAACTCTTCAACCCTAAACGCTGAGCCTTTCGGCAGCCGCGCGGGCTTTGAGCCGTGTCTTCGAATGGAAAAAGGTCTCATGGGTCACACCGCCGCTGAGCGAAGCTGAACGAGCAGGACCCCTCAACCCGAAACCTCGCGAAGCCTGAAGCCGTGAGAAAGGAAGTAGATAATATCGGGTTTAGGGTTTAGGGTCATAGGAAGTACATAGGGTTCCGTAATTCCAACAACAGTGCAAGATACCCCAGTGGTGTTTCTGGCACCAGGTGGGCATAAAGACACAAAGCAAGAAGCAACATGCATCTGCTAATCTAGATACATTGATATATCGAGCTGTACAATTACACAGGTATGCAGCTGCATGCTTGCATACATCACCGTTTCAATTTCTGCATGTATACAGCTGGATTTTCCCGCACAAGGAGTTCACAATATCCCGAACCTCTAGACAAAGCATGGCCGCAGTGCTCCCCAGTGTCCCGAACGTGGCGGGCCTTCTCCACTGGGCATGCGGCCGTGGACGGGCAGAAGCTCCTGCTCTGCTAGTGCCAAAGCGAAAGAAAAGCAAGTGCTTGGCGTGTTTGTCCGTTTGGTAGCATGGAGGTTCACATGAGTGCGTGAGGCTTCCACCGCATGTGCGCTTGCTTACATGAATCCTACTAGAACTTGAAGCCTGCACCTTCAAAAGCCAAGGTGAAGCAACATACACTTGTCAGGAGCTGTAGCATGCTCGGGAATTTAGCCGTACCACGGCGCCCAAGCAAGCGAAGCAAGCAAGCAAGCAAAGGTGGCTCCGCCTCACCGACTGCTGCCAGCGCTCTCGGACCTGGACGATGCCGAGCGCTTGGAGCGTCTCCAGTACTGGGGCTCCGTCAATCTGCACCCCGTCCTCGAGCTGGACCACTGACCTTTAAAAAAATCCTGAAAAGGGGTACCGCTACAGACGACTACAGCAGTTAATATCCATGACTGTGATGCACAAGAAGGCCATACTGACGATGAGGAGCCTCGCACGTGCAAGCTGAACATAAAAAAGATGAGAGTCTCAGAAATGAGCGACCCTTCATATACATATATATATATATGTATATAAATATAAATATAAATATAAATAAATAATAAATAAATAAACAAATAAATAAATAAATATATATATATATGTGTATCAAGTAGGATCCTGCTTACAAGCACTCCTGATTCTCTGGAACCTCTTGGGTCTTCATCTGCATGCTTCTCTGCCCTCTTGTGCCGTCTCAGGCTATCGCCCCTACTGATGGCAGTGATCTGCGAAAGCCTGCGCCTGGCTTTCCGCCTCGCCAAGCTTCGAATCTACCCCAGCTTCAAGCCCATCCCCCAGGAGGACGTCGAACTCCGGGCCCTTTCAATGGCGCCGGGGAGCCCTGTAGAGGAGAAGCTGGAGATGGGCGGCTTTCTTGGTGGTGTGGCAGCGTATCACCTCCTTTGTGGGGGCTTAGTGGCTCTGGCTGTCTCGAACTCCTGGATTTCCTCGCATGCAGGAGGAGGTGTTGCCTGGGAGTTGTGGGCAATCTGGCAGCAGCTTTGCTTATGGACATTGTTCCTTCAGAACTTGCTGCGATGTTGCATGGTTGACGCGGAAGCTTTGGGTGCATCCACATGGAAGGCGGTGCTTCTCTACACCGTCCCATGCGTCAGCGACCTCTTCGATACCATGAAGGACTGGCTCATCACGGGCATTTGCTTCCTGGAGCCGAGGACGCCCTGGGGCTTTCCGGTGGGAGCCCTCTTGGTGTCTCTGGAGCTCACTCTCCTCCTTGCAGGCCGCCTTCCCCGCTGCATCCCTTTGCATGAGGAGATTTCCTTAATGATTAGAATAGGGTTTGGGGTATATTATACTATACTTATAACAAGGAACCCCCAAAACCCTATTCTAATTATTAAGGCCCCTACATTGAGGAGATATCCTTGAGCTTGCCTCTCCTGCCGCTTCAAGTGCTCTTTGCTCTGGCCAGCCTTTCCTTGGCAGCAGGGCCGGGGTGTGTGCGGTTCTGGGCAACGCTGTATGCCAACCTGCGCTATGGGCTCTATTCCTTCGTCGTGCTTCCCGCGACCGTACTTCTCTACGCTCTTCGGAGCCTTGCAGCTTTGCTCCTGCTGGCGCTCCAATGGCTGGCCTGCGTAGTGGCCTTTCTGGCAATGGCCATCATTGACATTCCTGTCCTTGTGGTTTCGATCTTTGACTCCTCAGTCATTCGGTCCGCTGTAACCGCGGAGCGCAGGTGCCTGAACTCTTATTGCAGCATGGCCTGGTATCAGCCCGGTGAGTGGTTCAACCAGACCAACACTTCTGTCCACTCGAAGTCTCTGACGGTGACAGATGTCGACAGCATGTCGCAAGAACAGAGTCAGGACATGCAGGGCTGGATGCATGGTGTTTATCTCTACCTCGCAGATGGCGGACTACTGTTCACATTTTCTATTTACGTCGTCATCTATTCGTACCTGCAGGTTTTAGCACACGAGGACGGCAAAAGAGATCTGCGAAAAAGCTTTTGGCCGATTCTGGAGCTGCGCAGGCCCGTGTCATATTGTCTGGTACGAAAATGTACTGTTGTCTATTTGATGGCATGAGATACTGTTGATGATATACATCCTGCATTACCTTAAGGACCCTAAACTATGGGAATTTGGGTCTATTCCTTATTATGGGTGATGCAGGATTTATACCATCAACCGTAGTGTTACAAGCTGCTGAACCCGGACCCACGAAGGCCCGCCCGGCCTGTGGCGGAAAGGTTCACGGAGTGGAGCGTGAGGTCAGCAGGGAACTTGTCTGTGGACTTCCTCAGCAGCTCTCGTTTGATGATGGCATGGACCCGCGACTGGCCGCAGGTGGGGTAAGATAAGGACCCGAATATTGACCGGAGGGTTCCCGAACAATTTTCCTTCTGCAAAACAAGTACCACAAGGAGGTTCTTCAGGCCCACCTCAAGACAAGGGCAAGTTGGGAAGTCCTCCCGAAAATGACAGGATTACGGTATTCCCAGAAACGAGATCCAGAGCATGGAGGGAATTCTCCACAGCGGTCGTGCCAGTTGTGTGGATTTCGTAAGTAAGTCGAAAGGAAGCAGCACATATCGCCACGCCTTGTTTCCCATGCCATCACCTCCTTGCTGAGTCCTTGGATCCTTTAAGCATCTGTCAGCAAACCCTCGAGACTCGGTGAACCCCGCTGAATGCGAAGCACCTCGCACCAGGGCTTTCAAACTACGCATGCATCCGAAACCATAGACTTTCCAGAGGTGGTTATCGGTTTGGTTCTGGTGTGGCGGTATAACCTCCAACACCACCACGATGGCTTCGGCCTGGCTGGCATCTCCACCATCATCAGCCTCTGCATCTCGACGCGGGTTTGAGACTATGAGGTTCTGGCAGATATTGGGTGTAGAGTACAGTGCTTGTGATCTATGAGTTTTTGTGCATTTACCAAAAGTTGAAGAGCATCTCGAGGACAAGTCTGCTCGGGAATTTGGTTTGCAGACACACATGACATAGAATACCTCTTGCTCTCTCGCTCACTCTCTCTCCCTCTGTCTCTCTCTCCCTCTATCTCTCCCTTTCCATAAATGACTGTCTATGTGTGCAGCCCTATCTATCTGTCCATCCATGCTTCCTTCCATCTATCCATGAATCTATATCTGAAAAACAATATATCTGTATATCTGTTTGTCTGTATACCTGTAGATCTGTATGTCTGTGTGTCAGTATTGTATCTGTATCTGTATCGTTCTTTATATCTATGTTTATTTCTGTATCTTTTTCTAAGTATAGTTATAAATACCTTAATTGGGGCTATAAGCTGGGTTACGCTATTTGCAACCCTAGTTACTAAGTCCCATGAACCTTTAAATTTCCATCTCTATACCTACCCTACACCATTGCAATCGGTAAGCCTGAAAATAAGTGGATACACGAATGCAGAGTTAACAGTAAGTGCTCGCACAAGTCTAAACAACTAGAGGTGGAAGTACAGCCACCTACATATGTGGGTAGAAAGTTGTCATATGCACGTATGCGCAACTGTATATACACATGCATTGCATATACAGATGTGTATGTTGGCTCACATGTTATGCATCTCTGTCTATCTGGGTCTAGAGAAGAAACTCCGCACAGGATGACCTCCTACACAGTGCAAGTATGCAGAGAGAGCTCTTTGAAGCGCCTGTACGGGATCAGATGGCCAATGACGTGCAGTCGATACATGGTATGGCTTTGGAAGAAAACTCCCTATGGAAAGCCCTTGTTACAACATCACAAAGCACCCTGCAACCCATATAAGCACTTCTTTTGCAAGCCTCATAAAGCCCCCGTGCAAAACCTGAAAATGACCTTCCCTAAACCCTAAACCCTAAACCCTAAACCCTAAACCCTAAACCCTAAACCCTCGGAAAGCCCTTACAAGAAAGCCGATTCCGAGCGCCGGAATGCAAGGCAAAGGGCTCCTGATCCCCTCCTTCCAGGCCTCCTTGGGCCTGCTTCCCATGTGTAAGAAGGTTTGTTTTTGAAGGGGGTTTAGGGGTTTAGGGCTTAGGGTTTAAGGGCTTTCGGGTTTAGGGGCTTTAGGGTTTCGGGTTGGGTTTCGGCTCCGGGGTTTGGGGGTGACCTGCTTTTGGAGTGTTCCTGCTCGGGGTCAGGGCGGTGTTGTGTGCTGGCTGGGGTCGAACGAATAGCTGTGACAGAAGTGACAGCTTGCTGTCTAAATTGCGAAGGTTTCTAAAATAGAGCCGGAAGGGTCCGAAGCCCGGCTCCAGACGATTTCCATGCCCTGCTCGTTCCTCGCCCTGAACGCCTGGGAGCTCGAATCCCGCTCCCTCGTCCGAAACGTCCAGAACGAATCCTCCATGTCTTTTCCGCAAAGGCAAGCGCTGAGATGCGTGGTCGGCATATCTACATACTTGCGAAACCGCATGCCAGAATCACAACTGGCCTGCAGTAGCATGCATAGCCTCTTAACTAGCAGTTTCATCAAACTATAGGACTTGAGCCAGTACTCATCCTTGTACATATAGATGCAAATAAACAAATAGATAAATAAATAAATAAAATAATACATATATATATATGTACATATATATATATGTATATGTATAGATGTACATACACACAAGGATAGTTTGGCTTAGGTTAGGCTAGATCAGATTCGGCTAGTTTAGTTTAGTTTAGATTAGACTAGATTGGATAAGATTAGATAACTAGGAAACAAAGGTGGCTCTTTGTTTGTTTGTCTTGTTTTTACACATGTATACACATTGACATAGATGTACGTCAACCGAAGCTCTTCACAGCTATGTGGGTAGTCTTCTAAAGTAGGGTGCCTTTTAGGGTCCTGTTTATAATGGTGCCGTACTATATTGGGGACCGTACTATATTGGGGACCTAGAAAGGGACCTTATCTGGAGAACTACTCATGTGAGGCCTGCCTATGCCAATGGCAGGAGAATCGGGCGCTGGATGCTCTGGAGGCTCCTTGACTGACCTTTTCCTTCGCTCTTTGGAAAGATTTTGCGTGGTACTGCTTATTCATACTGTCACTATTTAATATTACTGTTGCTACTATTGGTATGATTATTACTGCTATTATTATTGAAACCACGCCGGAATACTAGCGTACTAGCGCCGATGGACCATATCGGACTGGAAGGATTCCTACCATAAGCCCCCAGAAACCCCCCCCTTCACCTGAGTCTCGGGACCTGAACCCCAAGCCCTAAGCCCTGAACCCTAAACCCTAAACCCTAAACCCTAACCCTTGAAAAAAAAGCTTAAAGCGGAGGTCCTGATCAGCTGGGAGAGACTTCCAGCGCTGGCACGAAGATTGGACCAGACCTTCTCCAGGACCTTCCCGGCCCGGTTTGGCCTTCTGTGCTTTTTTCGCTCAGGGGCCCGGTAGGGGGCTTCAGGAATTGTGGGGTTTCGGATTTTCGGGTTTGGGTTTCTCGAACCCAGGGTTATAAGGACATAGATTCTAAACCCTAAACTCTAAACCCTAAACCCTAAAATTCGAGTCGGAGCAAGTCCAGGATCCGACGATCAGAGGTGGAACAAAAGCTGGAGACTTTGGTGGCCAAGCAGTCGCTGGAGGTTCTGCAGAGGTTCAATGTTACCGAGCCTTGGCCCACGCTTTGCAGATGTTGAGACCGTTGAAGGCTTTTGAATTTTGGTTTTGGGGTTTATTTGGTTTGGGGTTTGTTTGGTTTGGGGTGTAGGGTTTAGGGTTTGGGGTTTAAACCCAAAACCTAAAGCCCTAAACCTCAGGAGCGCAGCCTCTTCCGCCCTGTGGTCTCCGCTGTTGAGCAGTGGATGAGCGACTGCCTCCCGCTGGAGTCTGACCAAGTTCAGGAGGCTGTAGGCTCAGAGTTTGGGGGTTTATAGGGCTTTTGGAAATTTTCAGAAGATATGGGTAGTTCTCAAAAATAGGGCCCCTTTTGGAGCCCTTTTTTAAAGGGTGCCGTACTATATTGGGGACCTAAGCAGGTACCCCAAAAGTTTCAGAGGCCTTGAGCTCCGAGGGTTGGGAGCTTAGGTGTCATCCGCTTGAAACCCTAGCCCTATAGGGTTTATAAACCCTAAACCCTAAAGATTCGGGGGCTCCCAGTTTTTTTTTTTTTTCCGGCTGATGGTTCCGCTGTTGGGTTCAGGGCCGGCTCCGGGAGTTTTGGAGTCTCTACTTGGAGGTATTTGATAGACTTATAAAGTATCATAACTTATAACCCCAATTAGGACCCGTTTTATGGTACTTGTAAGTCTACTTATTACCCACTTACTAAGTCCCGCG